TTCCCAATTCCGTTGAAGGTATCAGGGTATTGGGTCATCAGGGAGGCTTTGGGACTTTCTGGAGTTTTGTGAGGGTTGCTTTTTGGGCTAGATCGAACATTGGCAGCATTCTTTGATCTGTCTTGCAATTTCATTTCTAGATTAATGCTGACCAGTCCTAGTTCTCTTAAGGTCGGCAGTCCTAGGATGGCTGGTCCTTTGTCCTCCGTCACATGAAATGTGGCGTTTTCTTCTTTCTCCTTGTAGGAGCACTTGATTTTGCAGGTGCCATATTGTTTAACTTGACTTCCTCCGTACGCGGTTATTTTGGTTTTGGATCGGCCTAGTTCTGTTGGTTGTCCACGGCTGTTGAATTTCTGGGGGAACATTTCCTTGTATAGTCTGAAGGGCAATGCATTCCCTTGGGATCCAGTGTCGATCTTGACTTTGAGTTTATGTTTTGTATTCCTTGAGTTATGACATGGAAGTTGGATGCCTAAGGTTGCGAAGGCTTCGTCCTCTGTTTTCACTGAGTTAATTTTGAGTGTCTCAAATGTATATTCTTCATAATCCTCTTCTTCCTCTTCATCCCCTATCTCGATTTTGTGGGTTTTCTGGTTATTGTACTTTAGTTTTCTGCACATCTTTTTGAAATGGTGCAGCTTTCTGCAGTAATTTCATGTCTGGTGTCTTGCTGGGCATTGCGAAAAAGGGTGAGGGGAGTTGCCGCAATTTGGACAGCATTTTTGAAGTTTTCTGGTATTGCTTGATTTAGGAATGTTTTGTGGGACATGAAATTGTTCGGGTCTCGATCTGTGATTCTGTGAGGAAAATCTGGGCCTGGGACTACTGGAAGGTGCTTTTTTCATTAGTTTGTGGACATTTACTTGAGGTTGGCTTGACATCGAGTTCAGTTCATACTTGGATGTTTCCAAAGAACGAGCGATTTTGAGGGCGTCTTCTAGAGTAGGGTCATCTTCCTGGAGGAGTCGTTCCTTGATTGAATGGTCATTTGTCCCGAAAATAATTCTATCTCTGATCAGAGAACTCTGGAGTTTGTCGAACTCGCAACCCTCTGCCAGGAGTTTGAGGGCTGTGACGAATTGGTCCATGGACTCTCCCTCCTTTTGCACTCTGGAATTGAATCTGTACCTGAGAGTTGTTATTCTCTTTTTGGGGGAGCAGTGGGTCCTAAATCTTGTAAAAAGGTCCTCCACTGTCTGTTCTTCTTCTGGAATTTCCCAGGTATTAAAAATGTCTCTCCCTTCCTGTCCAATGTTGATAAGCAGGTAGGACATTTTCTGTTGGTCCGTTTTCTCTGCAAGAGGCCCTGTTAGGAGGAGGCGCATGTTCTGCTCCCACTGTTTAAATTTGCCCGACAGGTTTGGGTCATCAAAGTTCATGGGAGGAATTTTTGTATGTTCCATGGTTCTGACTATTTCGGGTATTATTAGTGCAGGTGGATTATAGACGTAGATCAAGCTTGAGGCACTTGAGATTCTGGAGTGATTTGGTGTCACTCTTTTACTCTGTGTCTGACAGGGGTGTTCGACCCTTGATTGCGAGCATGCAACGATCTTACCTTAGATCTATAGAATTTAGCACTTAGATCCCTGAAGACTTGAATTCGATGGTGGGTAGGTTCGTCTGAATTTCTGACACCATGTCGTGTTTGTATACACATACACAAGTACAAGGAATGATCGACAACAGAACACAGCGGATAAGGCACAGAGGTTTAATGGCTCATGTATAGCGGCCGGGACACAGACTCGAAGTGCGAACAGAACAAAGACTAAGAGGAAACTAAAAGCGAGGGGGTTATAAGGTCACTGGAACACGGGTAGTATAACAATGAAGTCGTGTACGGTAAACATTGAAATATCATGACAGGGTAGTGGGGGCTAGCCAAATTGAGGGTGCAAAGCGGCATTCATGGCACAAACCGATTGACTCGGTCAGTGACCTACAAAAGCAAACATGTTTGTTATAATTATCAGGCCTGCAAATCGCCGTTAATCGCGTGATTGGGTGGTTTGCAGCCAATCACAACAAGGCTGAGTCACGTGTCCATTTGACCCATGAATACATTTTATAACTACTAGGCTGACGGTGCTCTGGGAATTCCCGGTTTCGGTCTCACGCCTTTGACCGTCTTTTCACTTCTCACAGCGGGTTTGGAGCGCTCATAGGCCTAGAGGAAGAAGAAGACGAAGAAAGTAGGAGGAGCATTACAGAGGGAGGGTGGTGAGAGTGACAGGGAGTGAGAGAGATACGTTGAGAGATAGACCTAGCAAAACATTGCACTAGATCTAGGTCTCCATGGGAAGTGAGAAAAATGGAAAGGAGAGCGACACTAAAGCAAGCAAGCACTGACGCTCACACGTGCACACTCACAAACACACGCACACACAATCTACTTAATGTATTCATGAGTCAAAGGTTCAGCTCGTAGCCTGGTTTAAATGCCCTCTGTAGTCGCATACGTAGGTTAAAGGTTTCTCTACTTTAACTTCCAGGTCGTTGTGTACAATCACGGCGGGGTTGCAGTGTGCAATGAAACTGCCAGAAAGCGACCTGACCCGATGACACGACCCGACCCGATCCACATAAAATATTTGCTAGTGGGCACCCCCTATTAAGGTTTCGGGTAGGGTTAGGGTAGAAGGTCTCTCTTCTAGTGTTTGTTGGGGTGGTCACTCGTCACGGAAGTCCTTTGGAGATACGTCTACTAAATTTTTATAGGACTGAAGGGACCTCTATCTATCAAAACAACCAAATTCTAACAGTGGGCAGGGGCACTAGGGAAATCACCTGTTTTGCCATTCATTAGTCTTTGAACAGTAGAATTATCATCAACCTAGCCTGTAATGGGTGCCGACCGGGTTGGTTTGCTTGCCTATATATTTCCATTGCTTTGGCAACTTTTAAAAATTTCAGTTTTTTGGCTCAACACTTTTTAATGTGTTACGACGTGTTGGAATCAGGCCTTGTCAATTTTTGAACTTGTGGAGTTTTTTGGTATCATCCTAAAGCTTGTTTATTTTTCTTGTTTTTCTCTCTCTCTCTTGCCCTTTTTAACTCCCAGCGGAGCATAGACCATCAACAACATTTCTCCAGCTTGAAGCCTGTTTGTGCATCCTTTTCTCGCTGTGTCCATGATGTCCCCGCCTTTTCCATTTCCGTATGTGCCGCTCACCTCCCATGTCATCTTTGGTCTTCCTTTCTTACGTTTACCTTGTGGATTCCACGTCAAAGCCTGTCTGATGATGCTTGTCGGGGGTCTCCTCAGGGTGTGCCCAATCCATTTCCATTTCTTTACCTGTATGTCTTCCTTTACTGGCCTTTGGCTTGTTCTTTCCCACAGTGACTCGATCTTACCACTTGATCCCCACTATCCTTCTTAGACATCCATTTATGAAGCTCTACAGTTTCCTTGCTGCTGATGCTGTGAACCTCCATGTCTCTGAATCATACAGTAGAACAGTCTTCAGGCTTGTTTTGAAGATTTTCAGCTTGGTGTTCAATCCCAGTTCCTTAAACATCCTTTCCTGAAGATGATGAATGCTGCTCTTGCCTTTTGTATTCTGACCTTGATTCCCCCTGCCTTGTTGATGACACTTCCCAGTTAGGTGAAGGATTCAACATCTGCCAATGGTGTCCCTTGCGGTATGATGAAAGTCGGTTGCATTCATTCAAAGAATTTTCATTTTTTCCTTCTGAATATAATGGAGTCCAACACTACGAGAGAAGGTCCGGAGACGATCTGTCTTCTGTTGCATCTGGGCTCGACTGTGAGAAAGAAGTCTTCTAACTGACTGGAAAGGGTCCACTGAATGCCACTGCGTTGTCCGATGTTGTCTGTCTAATTATTGAATCCACTGCTAATAAAAAGAGAAAAGGCGATAGCACTCAGGCATCCCTGTCTCACTCCTTGTCTTGCTTTTGGTTAAAATATACCCATTTGTCTTGATAAAATAAAAAGTTGAGATATTTGCGATAGAAGGAGGTGGGGGTCACTTGTGCCTGAAGTAAAATTAGCAAGAAAATGGCCACTATTTTAAAGTTTAATTACTTACAGAGCTTAATTGTTCTTTGAGACTGCAAATTTACTTTTTTGTGTCTTTTATAAGTCCATGCAGAAATGTGTTTTCAAATGAACAAGGTGTTGAGACAAAAAAGAAAAAAATCAATAAAAATTTCCCGAGTTGAAAAATGTTGATTTTTTTACGAGCACCTGATTTAACTAAGAATGATTCCTCACATCATCTAAATACGCATTTTATTTCTGTGTGAATTTTAAGGCACACAAAAAATATAAATTTTGTCTTTACTAGGACTCTCAAGCAGGGGAAATCACCAAACTATGGGGCCATTTTCTCTCCACATATCTGAAACCAGGCGACCCCACCTCCTTCATTCGCAATATCTTGACTTCTATTCAAGATAGATTATATCATGAGTATTATTTTTCTTTGCAAGCAAGACATAATAACAAGCTTTTAAGATAATATCAATAACTCCATATATATATATGCCTAAAACTTTATGAGCGCCTGATTTGATAAATTGACGGGAAAATGCCTGTTTCTTCAATTTCATTATTTTGACGAGCATCTGGTTTCACCACAATGCCTCACATAGTATCTGCTGAGCAATCTGGAAAACATTCTTCAATTTTCTTGAGGGCTATAACAATACACTATGTTACATAGAACTTGAATGATGGTACCACAGAGAGTAAGTTTAAATATTCAGATCTAGTGAGGATTATTGTTCAGTAGCTTTTTTCTCCTTACTTTTGAGACGGCCAAATGTGATGTAAAATTTCTCAACTGAAGAGCTTGAATTATCTGAATGATACTATGATGGTGGTCCTGGGTTTGTATTGTTCTCAGTTTACTTTCTTGCTCCTGTGGGTCCATTCACCTCCTTCGTGTTGGGACTGTGAAGTTCAACATTTGTTTTTCTGTTTTCAAGATATTGTTTTCCTATACTCGCATTTCTTCATACACCCAATAAAACATTTAAAATACTAAATGCCATGAGTATTTTTTAAAGAATATAATAATATAAAATTATGTTTCACCATAATATCCTCTGTTTCAGAATACAGACTCTCTTCTAGCAGTGCTAACAGCCGACCGACAAACTTGAATCTTTTCGAAGATGCTTGTCCTCAGGGCATACAGGGAGATGACTGTGATAACTTCAAACTGTGGTTAGAGAGTTGTAGAAGGTTGGTTGTGTGATTTGTAGTTTTCTTGCAGTTTATAGCTGTTGAATCTGCTTTCCTTTACTCCCCCTTTTTTTATTGTTATCAAAGAAGTTTGTCTTTCTGATCAGTTTTTGGGGGGGAGAAGAGAAATAATTGAATTTTCTAGTGGGAGGGAGACATAAAACTGAGTTTTTTTTCTCTGTTGTTGTTTTTGTTATCGATCCAGCAACAGCTGAACTTTTGCCCTTCTGTCCGACGCCATGTAGTAATAATTGCAAGTTTGTTGCAGTTGCTGTAATGTTCCATAGAGTGTGTTGTCAATGTCAGGTCCTGGAGGGAGAAGTATAGCTCTGATGTCATTTAGGGATGTACAGTGGAAATTCTCTTGAAAAAAGTGAAAATGTTGTACCTAGTGAAGAGGAGCCATGATGCCTTTTCTTTTAATTTATTGCAAGTTATATTTCCTCCTTATGAAGTCTTTCTTGTAATGTCGCATCCCATCAGTTCTCAGTCTTCCTTTAGGGGGCATCCTCGTTTCACATATCAGACACATTCAAGTACATATTTTTTTAAATTAATGAGGTATTGTTGCTTTTTGGGTTTTTATTTCAGATCTATTACCCATGGTTTATAACACATTTTTTCTCACAGGTATGGTCTTGCAAACTGCGAGGAACAGCTGCAGGGCATTCAGACGGGCCGTAAGACCCTGGCGGAAGTTCTGGCAGAACAGGACAAGCTCATCGCGGAGATTGCCCAAAAGTACCGAGCTGCCCAGAAAAATGACCAAACGGGGAACGCTCAAGGCATCCAGCCAGAATTTTCTGCTTTCCCAAAAGTGGATGAGCCTTGCCCCCAAGGTATTCAAGGTGAGAAAAAATATAAGGTGCCTTTGAAAACCTAATTTTTTCAGAGTCATCATTGCCGTGCTGAAAACTTTTTGTGACCTTTGGGTCTGCAGCATTGATAATAATAAATAAATAATAAATAAATAGCATTTGTATAGCGCATATCCCGGCTCAACAGCAGCCTCTATGCGCTTTACACTATATTATTACCCCAGGAGACCACAGAACACTCCAAAACATTCTCAGCTTCCCGGGAAGCATACAGTGCAAGCAGCCGATTAAGCGCTCAAACACTAACAAACTGACAAGATCTTTTGCTGTCTATAGCCGGGTACGCATTCCCACCTGGGTGAGGTGAGGAAAATTCATGTAAAGTGCCTTTCCCAAGGACACAACATCGGACCCCTGACGGGATTCGAACCCACAACCTTACGGTTGCGAGTCCGAGAGCCTAACCACTAGGCCACCGACGCCACAGATTACCTGGTGCGTCAAAATTGACATAGAGCTGCACAAATACCCACAATTTGACATACCAAGTATGTCATTAATGTTGTGAGAAACCTGATGCATAGTGCTTTATTGATATACCAGGTGCGACATGTTTAAACCGCTCGACACAGACTCTGTGTTTAAAGGTAACTGCAAGTACCATGGCAATGTAATTAAGATTCAGTATTCGAAAAAGAGGTGTGGCCGATCTATACCTGCTTTGTGGACACGTATTTACTGCTAGCACTTCAATGCTGTCGTAAAAGCGGTCAATTATGATCTTTTCCCCTGGATCAGTGATTGTTTAAATAAGCTAATAATTGATGCCCTTTGGTCAAATAGACCCAGTTGTGGGGAAACTTTTGAACTAAACTGAACACAGTCAATTCTAAAATGTAACCTGTAAAAAACCTTTGCTCACTGTCACTGTCACCCTAACCCTAAATGTGATTGTGCTTTACCTACATGAGATTGCAACATGAGAACGGGTAAATTGCTTCAAATTTCTCTAGTTCTTTGCAAGCAATTTCGTGGGGTTAACAGAAGAGAATATACTTAGTTTGTTTAGAACTATTTATTGTGCTGAATGATGACTAAATTGTCTCAGATTTGTTTTGCAAGGGTCGCCAAATATTGTAGCTAGTTTCAGGTGCTGTAAGCTAAAAATGTTAACCCCTCCGTTGACAGGGGCTTACTCTCGTCAGCTTAAATTTTCATCTAATCTGGTTAGCCAGGACAGCAGTCTCATGTCTCAGTGTTAGTGGACTCACCTCTTAGATCTGGCCCATCATCATTGCCTTTCTCACCGTGGATCAGGATATAGGCTAAGAACAAACACTTTCCACCTTTCCTTGTTCTGGGCTAGCCACTTGTTATTCCGTGTCTCCCCACTTTTCTCTACATCAATTTCTGTGACTTTTCTCCAGATTTCAAGAGGTCTTCCCATTGATCTTTTACTCTCTCTGGTGGATCTGGCAAACTTGTTACATCGGATGCGCGATCTTCGATAGTGTCATTTTCCTAGTTTTCCTCATTCCTTATATATATTCCCCATCACTCTTTCCCATAGTTGGAAAAATTAGCAAATCTTAATCCAGCAGATCAGTTTCCTGTCATTTGTACTTACAGCATCCATGCCATGCTTGCTTTCAGGTAAGCCAGAGTAACTGACATAGAGGATAACTCACGAACGTCACTGTGCCAGGTAGAGTGAGTCCGTGACCCCGCACGCTCAAGGAAAACTGCCACGTTGGCTCCTCTGAGCCGTGTAATTGATAGTGAACAACGCTGATATTGTGCCTCTTTTTGTGTGAATGCATACGTGTGTGTTTGGAACATTTGTGTTATAGTTATTTGGACTGTGTGACTCTGGAATATTTCGGCTTGCTGTTTCGGTGCTATGATGTCTTTCATTTTGAAAAAAAAAAAACGACTTTGCTTTAGAAAAAAGGATGAATGTCAAGACAGAAGCATGCAATTTGACTAATTTGAAGAAAGTTTTTTATTCTTGAGAAGGAAACGAAGGGTAATTTTTTAAAGTTTACTTTTTGAATTTGCATTTAAATAAATTCATTTGGTCTGACCTTCAATTTAGCAGTGTCAGAGTTTTTTTTGGTTTAAAAAAAAAATAAAGCTGAAGTGTAAAAGAACTTAAGCAATTTAGGTCAAAAATACTATTTAAACATCTATGGCAGGTGTTGCTGTGATCAAGACTAACATTGGCTCTAGACCTACTTTTGTTCCTGGTTTAATTTCTCCAATCAATTAATTTTATTAACTGGTTTTGAGTCGGTAGACATTGTTACATTCATTTTTTGTAGAAGCCATTAAGGCTGCTGATGATGCTATGCACAAAATTAATTGTTAAAGAAATCAGTAATCAACTTGTTTTCAGAGTGCAGACATGTGTCTATGTCTTTGTGCACTTTTCAATTCCCACTGTGACCCGTTGCCTCGTCCACCTATAAAACTTTCGCTATCATTGTGATGTTGGTGGACTTTCCAGTCTGTAGAGCAGTGGTGGCGAGCAGTTCGAGCACTCTCCCTCACACACTCGCACAGACAATGAGGTCTGCCCCACCACACCTCCACCGCGCCCTGTGTTGGTCTGCAGTTAGGTCTAGAGCTCACACATACTTTGAGTTTTTAAAGTGTGAATTTAAGTCTGTTAGACCAGAGGACTGCTTTTTGAGCCATGGTACCAATTTTGTAAGGTGCATTGTTGCTTGATTAAAGGATCCTTTCGGTACCAGGTACATTATCGATGTCTCCTATAAAAAATAAAAAGGGGTTCTCTCTCTTTTTATTAGGTCCGAGATTTCTTTGAAACTGATTTTGTTGCACTTGATATGCATGGTGCAATTATAAATGCTGTAGTTTTTTTAAAAACCCAAAACACTTGGATATTTTCACTGGTGTGAATTATATATATTTTTTTTTTTATTCATGGCTGCCAGTATTCATCCTCTGCTTATTTTTTTTTTTACTATTTCAGTGAAGAATCTAGAATTTTCTCTTCGTCTTTTATTTCTACAGTTTTTTTGTGTGTGTGTTTCATGGTTATAAACTCCACTCATTCCTTGTGATTTTATTGAGTCCCCGAACCTGTTTTTTAAGGAAGGGGCTGGTCTAGACTCTTGTGCCATACTCATTTATCTCATGTTTAGTGAGCCAGCTCAAATCTTACTTTGTTCCACTTTTTCTTTCAGATATAGATCTACTTTGCTGAAAAAAAAAAAAAAAGACAAAAAAACAAACATGTTTATTCTCTTACGCTAGTACAGGCATACCTAATAAATTATATATTATGCAAAATAATTGGAAGAGAATAAAGTGCAGATGTTTACAATGAAATGTCTTTTCTCTTCTCTTACTTCATTCTTTTTTTAAACTTCTGTTGAATGGTCTCTTGTTGCAGCTTGGTAGATTCTACCCCAATTTTTTGTTAAAATTTTTTTTCATTTTCCATGCAAAGATTCAAACACATTCACGTTCTCGTTTGAGATGGCTTGTGTTTGGTTGATTTATATTTGTCATCAATCATACTCTCGTAACCATACGGGAAACTTTGTCTGTGTTGAGAGAAGTATGCCAGTTTTCAGTCGGGTGACTGTGTCACAGTGGGCTGTTCACAAGGAGCAAATGATGAAGTATTTTATGTACGCCCATGTTCCAACTTCATTTTTACTTTTGACACATTGATTTTTATTTTACAAATCTTTGGTTGTTTATAATTCCTGTATTTGAAGATTTGATAAACGTTGTTATAAATCACTTTTGATTTGTGGTATATTGGTTGAATTAAAAAGGTAAATTACAGGTTTTTAAAATGTTTTCTTCAGCACACACATACAATCTCATGGATTACACTTAGTGCACCATCCACATTTTTTTTTTCAAATACTCAATTTGTTAGGTGATGACTGTGTTCGATTCAAGCTCTGGTTGGAAAACTGCTACAGATTCGGATTGCAAGACTGTATGGACCAATACCAGGGTGTCAAGGCAGGGAGGAAGACACTGCAACAGGTTATTATATCATCATATGTCAACAGTAAATACGTTAACCAATGCTTCTGTACCAAACATACAGTACACAGCGGACTGTTATCAAATATACTCAAATAGAATGATAGATTTTTGTGTCTTTTGGCCACACAGGTGAGAATCTAATCAGATAATTTATTTTTTTTTCTTGTTAGTTAGAATATGTTGCTTTGTCCCCTTGACACGGGCTATTTTGTTGTGAATTTGTCACTCTTTTTGTTCCATCTGTTGGGGCAGAAAAAAAACGTAGCTTTGTCTTTGCGTGCAGAAGACTTGAGTTTAATTTACGTGTGGGGAGAAATTTTATCAAGTAGGCCTATCTGTTTGCTGGGATGTCTTATTCTCTAAGCCCGGGTCTGTCTGCTGGGATGTTGTACATGTATCCTCCCAGCCTGACAGGCAGGGTCAGAACCTATCTCCTGAATGATCTAAATTGTGTGGATGGGGGTGTAAAAATAAAAAAATAAAAAACTTTTTCAAACCCAGGATTAGCAATGGAGCAATGAGTACTGTTTACATTACACTACAGGGTCAATGGATGCGACATTATGGACAAAAACTGTCGTGGTGAAGTTGAGGGGGGGGGGGCTGTGTTGGTGAGACACACTTTCTGGCCCTTTGTTGTCTGAAATCAGCTGCACTGAGATCAAGAGTTTTGAAAAGTCTGAAATGGAAGCGAAGAGAAGGGGGTAAGCAGTGTTGGGCAGTTTTGTTACATGTCATTGTGTAGGCATCATCAACCAGGGGCTCGTCAATTTTTGGGTTGGTGTCATCTTAAAGCTAGTTCATTGTCTTGCTTTTGCCGAAAAAATTACCCGTCTATGTTCTAGAGAATAGAGATTGTTCGGATTGAAGGAGGTTGGGTACACTTTTTAATGAAGGTAAAATTAGTGAGAATATAGCTGCCAAAATTTGGTGACTTCCAAAGCTTGAGAGTCCTCAGAAACTAAATTTACTTTTTTTGTGCCTTTAATAAGCGCTTTTCAGTAAAATCTACATCTGAATTTGTTTTTAAATGGACATAAAAGGTGTTTAGCCAAAATATGAAAATTCGGAAATTGCCAAGCGAGAAGAAAAATGTAGTTTTCTTCTATTTCATTACTTTGACGAGCGCCTGATTTCACCACAATGCCTCACAGTGTGTTTTGGTCTGCTGCTGGGACTTTATTTGTTCACTATGTCCTCAAAGTCAAAGAGTTAACATTATCCACTAGGTCCTAGCGAGTTAATGTTACTGCGAAGCTATAATTCAAAGCCCAGCTGTGCCGTAAGCTGAGAAAACGCCTTTTTTTTATTCACAGTAGCTTTGAAAAAGAGGGGTTTTTTGTCAGCCTAACCGTTGAAAAAAAAAAAGTGCTTCTGAAATTTGAATTCTAATTTATTATAAAAACTAGTCACAATTTCACTTTGATTTTTTCGCACAAGTAAGGCAACTAATCAGGCTTTCGATGTAGCAAACAACAATTTCTCATCCCAAAATGGAAAAAGGCGTTTTTTGTCAGCTTACGGCAGAGCTGCCTCGAGCTGAATAGCATGGTTATGGAGAATTCCGGGTACACCTGTATTATTGTTGACCATTTGTTGTGGCATTAGGTGATTACAAAAAATTTTTTAAGTACATGTGCACAATGGTGATAGACAAATGACTCTCAACATTTTATGGTCTGAAATAGGATGGTACATTGTGGACCTGAGCTGAGCTCCATACTGAGTTCTCTCCTTTTTAATGGTTAATTTAAGTTTTTATGAGCTTAGTCAAGTTAGTGGTTGTACTGGAGGGCATTGATCTACCAGGGGAATCATGTAATGGTCAAGCAGAAACTACTCGGTCAGACCAGCTACCAAACAATGAATGAGTTGTTTCATATATATGTGTCAGGACATTATGGAATCAGGCGCTCGTCCATTTTTGGGCATATGGGGTTACTGGTATCGTCTTAAAGTCTGTTCATTTACTTTCCTTTTGGTGAAAATAATATTCGTCTATATGTTGAATAGAAGTCGAAATATTTGCAATTGAAGGAGGTCAGGGTCGCCTGGTTTCATTGATAAAATAAGTGAGAAAGTGGCCGCTAAAGTTTGGTAACTGCCATTGCCTGGGAGTTCTTGGAAATGAAAATTTACATTTTTTGTGCCTTTATTTAATCAATGTTTTTCAGTAAAATCCACACAAAAATGTGTTTTTAAATGGACATAAAATGTGTTGAGCCAAAAAAAGAACATTAGAAAAAAAATTGTCCATTTCTTTGATGTCATTATTTTGACAAGCGCCTGATTTCACCACGATGTCACACATATATATACTGGTCTATATATTATGTGTGTGTTAAAGTCTGTAAAATGTACCCAATAATGTGTTTCTAAATGGACATAATCAGTATGCCCTAATTACTAAACATAATTAAACAACAAACAGAACCACTGCTCTGAAGTAAATCAAAAGGAAGTTGCTCTCTATGATAGCTGAATGGTTGATGAACCTCAGTGAATGTTTAAAGCATGTTTGTTGGGCCTGAAAAGTTTTGTTTTTAAACTTTTAAAGGGAGTGCTTATTTAGGCCACATATGGCCTAAATAAGGTAAGGGAGGGGGTTTAGCTTATTTAGGCCACCTGTGGCCTAAATAAGGTAAGGGAGGGGGGTTTAGCTTATTTAGGCCACACGTGCTCAAACTACCCTTTTCAGGCAACTGAGTTCGTTCCACTTTCATATAAAGGTGCACCTTTCTCATTTAGTACAGTTTTGTCTCAGTGTACAACTTATAAATCATATAATCATAATGAATATAGTAAGAACAAAGCACAATACGCAAAATTGTGCTAAATCCCAATGGTTTGAATGAGGGCCAGATTTTTCCTTCATGGAGGGGCAAAAGCTAGGCTACCATTTTGGCACACTTTGGTCAAGTGAAAAGGTCAAATCCTCCGAATGGACTTCCGGGTCAAATTTGGGATATAAAAAGTGTGTACACAACGTGGCTGAGTCAAAGTTGCACTATCTTTGCCTGCGTGGCATTCTTTCGTACTGTCTCGTAGTAGTACATGTAGTAGTAGTATTGTAGTAGAAAGTACATGTCTCGTAGAAGTACATGTAGTAGTAGTAGTAGTAGCAAAGATCGTGTAGAGAATCTTTGGTAGTAGATTCTATCTAGTAACTAGTAGGCAGTTTAGTGAACGTGCACGCGGCAGGGCGAATCGGCCTCGATTAGCCCCGTAGACTTTAGTGATCGGCCACGAAGCCTCGTGTTTTTATGGGTCTAAACAACTCAGTGTTAATCGCACTGCCACATCCGACAGGCCCACATCTTTTTAAAGGGAAAAGAAAGATCATCAAAATGGTTGAATTCGCATGAAAATCGATTTGGTAGAACTGGTACCATTAAAATTTGCTTCTGAAAACAAGGTAATTTTGATAACTCGATGAAATAAAAACTACTGGCTGTGTTATTCTGTATAAATTATGAAACTTCAGGATGTATTATTTTCTAACATCTTTTGACGCCTGAGCTGTAGAGGTTGAAGTTTTCACAACACTAATAGATCTAGTAATAGGGCTTTCCTTAAAAAATGCATAGATCTACAAAAGCCGAACCGACCCGGACACCCCGCTCTTCCCTGCACACTGTGATAACGTGTTGCTTCAGTCGCATTATTCAACTATTAATACGTGCGGCTATGGCAATTGAGATGTACTGACTGACAAAACAATTCACAGTTTTGTTTTTATTTTACCATATATTTGACTTTAATAGTGCAGGTGATAGCTACATCTAGATTCCCTGTCTAGAATCAGTAGTAGCAGGCCTATGCTAGAAGCAGCCAGAGAGCCAACAACTGCTAGATCTAGATCTAACTTGCTATGCCTTTGGGCTTTGGAATTGAAATGAAACGAATTGCACAGTTCTAGGTAATTTTAGATTCAGCAACTTACTGTATTTCCAGAGATAATAATAACAAATCTCACCATAACAGTCACTTTTACTTTTATTAGAATAATTAGATCCAACTTTTTTTTTCTAAAATCTGTTTTGCGCAAACTTAAGATTTTGTCTACTTGTAGAGCACAGAATTTACATTGTAAGCCTCTGCTCAGTCTTTTAGTATACATAAATAAAATACACACATATATATATATATATATATATATATATATATATATATATATATATATATATATATATATATATATATGTAGAGAGAGAGAGAGAGAAAGAGAGAGAGATCTATATATATAATCATTTTATGTTATTTTCTGGATATTTTTTAAACTCTTTTTTTTTATAACATGTCATAAAATCAAATTGTGCCATTTTCTTTGATATAAGAATAGCATTAGCAGTGGACTTTTTAGACAGTGAGTCTCTGATTCAATTTTTTTTTTTTTAAATATGCTAATCAATGAAAATTGAAAATTGATAATAGTATAGTCCTGTAGAGGATAGGTGGACTCCGGGGTCTGCATAGCGAAATACTAGGTTTTAGGATGTGAACCCCGGAGTCACCGTAGTGAAATAAGGTTTGGTTTAAGTAAGGATTGGTGGACCCCGGGGTCAGCGTAGTGAAATAAGTAGGTTTCTTTAAAGATTGGTGGACCCTGGGGTCATCGTAGTGAAATAAGTAGGTTTAATTTTAAAAGGATTGGTGGACCCCGGAGTCACCATAGCCGTAGAGGAATAAGAAGGTTTAATTTAAAAGATTGGTGGACCCCCGGGACACCGTGATTAAACCTACTTATTTTACTACGGTGACTGCAGGGTCCACCTATTCTAATACCTAACTAGTATTTCGTTAGGTAGACCTTGGGGTCCACGTTAAACCTACCTATTTCACTACGTTTACTCCAGGGTCCGCCAATCCTTAAAATTAAACCTAGATCTACATGTACTTATTTCACTACGTTGACTCCAGGGTCCACCAATCCTTAATTAAACCTAGATCTACTGATTTCACTACGTTGGCCCCGGGGTCCACCAATCCTTAATAATTAAAAATCTACTTAAAAGTTCACTACGTTGACCACGGGCTCCGCCAGTCCTACTATAAAATAAACTGAGATCTACTTATTTCACCATGTTGACCCCGGGGTCCACCGATCCTTACTTAAACCTAGATCTACTTATTTCACTACGCTGACTCCGGGGTTCACATCCTAAAACCTAGCATTTTGTTAGGTAGACCCAAGGATCCACCTATCCTTTTGGCTAGATAGACCCAGTGGTCCGCCTATCCACTTCCTTGATAATAACTGAAAACAATACATGCCAGTTGTCATGAATAGTGAAGACAAATGGGAAAAAAAGAAGATAATAAATAAAAAGATCAGTGGAATCTCGACCTTCCGAATCCATGGTTAGTTCAAGAAATCTACCATATGATATGGCCTAAATAACGTAAGGGAGGGGGGTTTAGCTTATTTAGGCCACAGTGGCCTAAATAAGGTCACCCACTTTTAAAACATTCTACCATGGCTTCAGCATTCTGAATTGGTGCGGTACTTGAGGGTTTTTCACTTTATGAGCCTACGGTACTGTAAATGTTAGTTAATAAGATCATGGTCCCAAATGATAAAGAAAAGTGCCTTTGTGGTGGTCATTTGTTGATTCGTGTATTCAGATTGGGTTTTGGCATAGATAAGTCACCGGGCAAGCAAGGATGACTGGAACTTGTTTGGACAGCACTGATGGTTGGTCTCTTGTAATCTAATCAGGTTTGTTTTTAATGAAATGTCAATAACAGCCAAAGAGTTTTCTTTTGCACAACTAATGATTGAAAGCTCTGAGCTGTGTTTTCTGTGACATCAGTTGTTAAGCAAGGAGAGAGGGCAACACGTCATACGAGACGTCACAAAACAGAATCGCTGACGTCCAAGAGAGAAGCCGGCAAGCTGTGCATGTCCAGAATAGAACTGAAGCTTTTAAATGCCCAAAACGTGGCAAACTCTTCTCTGCCAGAATTGATTTCATCGGCCATAGCAAAAGCCACATCATATCATTTTTATCTTCAATCTTTATTTCTTTTTTTTTTTTCACTTTAAGAAATAGTCTAAGCAGATATATTGGTCATCATCAGACATTGACGAACAAACTACTTAAACTAGTGTACCGGCAAAGCAATTCATTAATCTTTCAAAAGCCCTGGTTTGCACACATTGATTCCCTAACCATAAGTTCACACACTTTGATTCTCTTACCACAAGTTCAAACATTATTCTTCTTCTCGATCGCATCACACTTGAAGTCTAGTATCTGTCATATATTTGGACCGTCCTACTAAGTTCATCTGTCGGTCCGTATAGCTTCTCTTGTAGTGTCAATGGGGTTGGCCATTCACACACTTTGATTACTTTGATTCCCTAACCATACGTTCACACACTTTGATTACTTTGATTCCTTGATCATAAGTTCACACACTTTGATTCCCTTACCATAGGTTCACACACTTTGATTCCCTTACCATAAGTTCACACACTTTGATTCCCTTACCATAAGTTCTCACACTTTGATTCCCTTACCATAAATTCACAGACTTTGGTTCCCATTTCCCAACACAGCTCGATGTGAGTCAGGCCAATCCAGTGAGTAGCGGGTGGTTGGCGGGTACTCTGGTATGGTTTGCTCCTTCTTTCCTATCAAACATCTATTATACTATATTCCTGGTCTCATCTCATTTTTTTTCCCTTTTTTTTTTTTTTTGTTATTCTGTTGTAGGGCCTCTAATCTTCGGCACTTATATGATATGACCTTAATGTGTGTGTTACAAGTGCTGTAAAACTTACCAAAACAAAAAAAAAACACTGGGAAGAGCAGTTAACATGCTCTTTGATGACCTGATATGTACAGCTGACAGACTCCCCATCCTTTTTTCTTCCACCTCCACCTGTTCTCCTCTAATCGTGTTACATGTAACCACGGATGACATGGGAATGTTTAGTGTGACCCACGTGACTGTCCTCTCTTGCTCTGCAGCTTTCATTACCAACATTATATCATGGTCTCCACACATCTGTCCCAATATGTGCTTCTGTCTGGTGGCTTTGGTGTACGGATGAAATCAAAGAAATCATAGACATTGAGTTGACATCATTGGATCATGGTTGTGACTTTCCACAAACGACCACTTCTCGCTTCTACCGTACTTGATGTCGCGGTCGGCCATATTTTGCAGTGTGGCCGCTGTATTTTATCAACCAATAGCCCCAAAAACATGTCCAAGATAATCACGCAAATCCCTCCTCACCCAACACATTGCCATGAATTAAACGAACAACTCCCCCAAAGAAAAAAAACCCAAACAACCCAAACCTTCTTTTCCCGCCTCCCTCCAAAAGTAAAAATACATTTTAAAGTTAAAGTTAAAGCTGGGGACCACCTCTGGTAGGGACTCCAGAATTTTTTTTCTTCAGACCTGTCCCAGAAGGCAACCTGTCTAAGACGACTTTTGTCTTTCATCCGGACGATGGTGGTCATCTTGGGAAAATGCAACGGGATTTTGTGAGAAGTTGAAATTTGAAGTAGCATTGTTATTTAATGGTGCTTCTTTTTTAAATTCAAACTTCAGAATAGAAGAACCTTTCAAATAGTATCTCTCTAAGTTCTTCTCAGATTGAGATGAATTTTATGATTTCTTTGTTTATTATCCGAGGGTTTTTTTGGGGGGGGGGGTTTTAATTCTCTATTATCATAAAGTTAAGGCTTTCTATTTTCAAATGACAGATTTTCGATGAACAAGACAAAACCATCCGCGCTGCGGCCTCCACTGTCTTCCAGCAACATCGCAAGTACTCGACCGCATCCTCCTCGTCTTCTTCACCAAAAGGTCCAGCTGATGAGGATCCAGGCAAGGACTCGACCCCGGATCTCTCGCAACTCACGCAGAGACAGAAGCTACAGAGGGCTGTCAAAGAGTACGGCAGTACTGTCATTGTCTTCCACGTCGGTATTTCTCTCATGTCTTTGGGATTTTTCTACGCTCTCGTGTCCAGGTGAGCTGGGTGTGGTTGGTTGGTTTATTTTTTCAAGGAATTGGTCTTTACTTTTTCATTTTGAGCAGCAGATAGGGAGCTATAAATTTGTTAAAATCCTTGGACTTCATTCACTTTAGTAATTAGTTGCATTTTGGGTTGAAGAAATGATTGGTTACTTTCACTGAAACCACTTGAGGGAATTAGGGGTAATACGATTGTGAAGAACAGTTTTATTTTGCTGAGAAAAGGAAGGAATAAGAGTTTGCACTTTAATTTCAATTGTTAAGAAGCTTTGTGTATACACGTGTGTGTGTGTGTTTGATTGTATAAATGCACCATTTCTGTCACAAAGATGGCAAAAGTTTTGAATCAGTATAGCTGTCATGTGTCAAGAACTACAACAAGGGAGAAGAAACCAAAGAGGCAGAATTTGCAGTGAAGTGCTGATTTAGCAAACTGCCAAGTTAAACATTGACTGTATTTGAGATTTAATTTTTTTTCCTTCATAGACAACAAAAAGTCAAATTGTTGGAGAAATGGTATCAATGAAAATTGTTCAACAGAAGACAGTTATCTTGCCGTTTTGCTCTGTTTGTTATTGTTACTGAACCATTGACCATGTATTTCACTGTGTGTTTCAGTGGCGTCGACGTGGTGAGAATTCTCCAGGCTGTGGGTATCGGAGAAGCCATCATCCAGAACAAACTGGCTACAGGCACGGGAACGTTTGTGATGGCCTACGCGGTGCATAAAGTGTTTGCTCCAGTCCGCATTGCCACCACCCTCACTGCCACACCTTTCATTGTTCGCTATTTGAGAAGAATCGGTTTTCTGAAAGCGCCCAAAGTTAAATCAAAGCAGTGAGATCTTTAGGGAATGGTTAATGTTGCAACTGAATGAGCAATTTGTGACTGGAAGATCCATATTTGTTATGGGTTACATTTGTGGTGCTTTACTAATTTATGTAGCTCCTGTGGCTGTCAGGATCTGACTTTTGATAATTACTTTACTGAGGGCTAAGTTGAGAATGTTGAGACCATAAATTTGACAAAGAGAAAATAGGTTTAGGCTTTTATAAAGTGTGTGGTTGTTATAAGCTGATGAATGTATAGAAAACTCTGATTTCATTGTTGAAGTTGGAAAGAATATATGGTATGTCAAGGTTTCATCATATCGCGACCTTAGTGCTTTCTTGTCGTATTTCAATTTTTTTTAGACATTGAGAATGTGACTTCTTCAGTTCACTCTTTGTTATGAATTGTTTTCACTGTTTAAAAAAATGAGATTTGGTGAGGAAGAAGGAGAAAGTGATTAATGTAAGCAAGGGCTTGTGTATGAGAATGAGGAGATGTTGTTCATCAGTAAATGTCAGAATTAACTTTTTGCCATGACATTATTATTCTAGGAGCCCTACTTGGGGCCTATCCCTTTGGTGCCATTTATAGAACTGTTGAAGTGAAGTTGTCTTGTAGGTAGAATATGGTCTGCAGTCTTTGACAATGTTAAGAAATGAATACATGTAGTACTTTTGGATCGCTGGTCAGTTTGTAGGTGGTGGATTTGAGTCCATTTATTTTTTAATATTTTTGGGGGGGAAAGGGTGCGAGGGGGGAGGGGGCGGGGCAGGGCTACCTGTTCATGTAACTCAGATGTTGATAAAAATATTATTTTGTTTATTGTAGCTGTGAATGTGTTCGATATTATAAGTAGAGTCACATTCTAATGACATCCAATTTTTTTGTTTTGTTTGAGACGGAAATATATGGGAGTGAAGTTGTTACTTTGTACTTTGTTTTGTCTGCCTTTTGTGTCCTCAGTTCACATGATATGCGTTATTTCATTGTTTGTTTTTTTCTTGTTTGCATCAAAAGTAAAAGTCGGTTGGTTTAACCAGAATAGCATAAGCAGGTTTCCCCGCGAAAAGTGAGGTTCTTTGCTCCTTCTTTCCTATCAAACATTTATCATCCTAATCTTTCCTCTTTTTTTGTTTTTGTTACTCTCTTGTAACACTTCTAATCTTTGGAACTTATATATGACCTAATTGTGAGAAAAGTGCTGTAAAACTCTAACTGAAACTAAAAAGTGAAGTTTTCGTGGACTTGGTGAACCTCAGAGCTCTCAGTTTATTTTTCACTTTGACTGCCCAGCAAAGTAAGAGTGATTCCATTTTTCCTGGCTTTTTTTTTCTCCTTTATTTCCAATGTTCTGTGGCATGAACAAGTAATCTGCGTAGCCGGAATCCATTGTTATACAACTCTGTACTGGGAAGGGAATGCCCATGCTCAGCCTGATATTGATACATGATGCGCACAGACCACACATAGACCGAGGCGAGGTGTGCACTGTCATAAATGTAAGTGTTATTTTTCCAAAAGCTCGGTGAAATAAGCTTCTGTTGAATAAATGCAGCAAGAACTTTTTCGTCTTACGTTTTGTCGGTCTCTTCCTTCCACTTGGTTCTTTGCATGTATTTGGGAGTGTATGTGGCTGTTCACTCTCAGTTGTTCTGTCTCTGTTGTTGTTGTCATGAGGAATCATTGGGTCATCACAACTCTGGATGCATCAGAGCAAATCAGTGTCTGCTGTGAATAATAACAATAGTATTAAAAATAAACTACATTTTATTGATTCCCTTGGGGAAATTTGGGTTACAATGGCAAACATATATATATATATATATATATATATATATATATATATATATATATATATAATTTATATATACATAATTAGAAATGCGTATAATATATGCATACATACATACATACAGGAACACATATAATATACATAAATACCTACATTAATACACAGTATTACTCCAATATGGAACAATTTCACAAACATGCTACTGCTGATCGCCACTGTGTAGTGCCCTGTTTTTCGAGTTAGGGTTATTGTGTCATGCTCAAGGATACACCCCAGTGACCAACAATCTAAACCCTGTGTCACCGGCTCTTGCTTGACATTTCTTTGTGTCTGAACTCACTGCTCACTTAGCAACTGGAGCCCCCAACTGAATGATTTAGGCGTACCGGGGTGGTATCTGAATATCTCTATGAACAAACCCGTGTCTGTTGTGAATGATGTAACGCTGTGCTATTTCTATGTGGCTGTGTTTCAGCTCCTGTTCCAAACATTCAATTCACAAATGATGAAACTGACAGATTCTGTGTAAGTATAAGGATAACCGAACTCTTTGTCATTAAGCTCTAAAATCTAAGTATCAAGCATATGAGGTTTAAAACAGGGTCCTTTACTTTTTAGCTCAACTAGTGAAACAGGTAATTTGATCAAAGCAGAAATGATACCATGTTCTGATGTGTCAGCATAGAGGCTGCTAAAAATATCATATGACACTAATGACACATATACATTGACGTTTTTGTTTTCTTCTTGACAATCACATAAAACATTTTTGTCTAGACAAGCTGCCCTACAATTAATAACCCATTTTGGCTTGGGATACTTCCTCTTCAGTCGGATCGGATTTCAAACGCGAAGCTGGTTAAAATTTAGAGAGATGCCATGACATTGCTCCTATTTTTATGATAGTAATGTGTCGTTGACACAGTTTGCTAGCCATAGGATATAATTATAATATATAATTGTCTATGGAAGGATTCTGTTTCAATAGATTTGGTGCAATAGTCAGTGTGCTTATGTAATAAACTTCAGTAATTGTCTACAGGTCAATGTGCTTACCGGTAGTAATAAACTTCAGTAATTGTCAAGACCTCTGGACAGTTAACCTAGATCTCATCTAAACTTTCTATCAGTGTTGGCTACTAATTTAATAATAGTAAAAGAACTTTGCATTTGTTCAACTTACCATTGTACACTCTCTGAGAATTAATTTCTTTCCCAGGTCGGAAAATGTGTCCTTGACCTTTTTGTGTCCCGAGTGTGAATCGAAACTGACGCAGTTGAGATATAATTTCCATCAGCCTAGCTGGTGACAGTTTTGTATTTGATGCATTCTATTTTCATTTCTTTTATTTTTCCATACTCTTACACTGTTACATGTGCTTAAACTATTGCGTTGCAATTGTCCACGGAACTCATCTCTACAAGTTTTATTGGTTGAAATGAGAGGAAAATTGATTGAGGGGATTCTGCTGAGTTTGTTGTGAGCAATGTATAAAGATATATTTTATATGGATTTGATTTTGAAAGTGAATATAATAAAACAAAACCATTTGAAAATATATGCACCTGTGGTGTCATTGCTTGGTGAGAGTAGAAGCTGGTTAGTTGTAGTGTCAAATGTTGTTTCAGTGTAATGTTTGGTAGTGCGTTTGAATGAAGAGAAGCACATCAGCACAATAAATAAAAATCATATTATGCATAGAAGGAGCAAGACTGGCTAGTGATAGAGAGAAACAGAAAAGTGATAGAAAAGAAAGTACTCACTAGGACTTACTAGTGGCACCGTGCAACCACACAAGCTGTGTGAAGCACCCACATACATTACAACACAACAATCCACCCATATTAGGGACTGTTCACAAATGACGTCGGCTAAAATTTGGTCCAAAATTACCCCCCCCCCCCCTGTCATCTTCTGTCAAATTTCCCTGGAGCACCCCCCACCCCCCCTCCCTCCCCAGTTGACGTCAACCAAAATTTACATGTACATTTAGTATTTAGATAGAACCTGTACAGGATGCATTTTATATTTACACCTTCGATCTTTATTTCAGATTTTTTAAAAACAAACTATTGTTTATTAGATAATACAATAAAGAAATACATGAACTGTCAAATTATTTATTAGTAACTTTAACCAATCAAAATAATAACTGTGTTAATTGAATTGTAGGCCAAGAAAATGTGGTCTACAATATTTTTTCTTTCTTTCCTTTCTTTTCTTTTTTCCCCCAACCTTTTAGAGCATCATGGTTGATGTTAACTTTGTAAGGACCCTCCCATGTCAACTTTTAACTGATCCCCCCTCCCTTGAGTTGACATCATTTGTTAACGGTTCCTTACGACACGACAATCCACCCACATTACGACCGTTGAGGGTCATGATAACTATAACTTCCAGAAACAAGTAAGACAGACCCTTCAACGGCCTTGGTGTTTTCACAATACAAGTCATACATTGCAAAAATAAATGGAAGTAACTTGTAAAAAGTAAGGTTTTCTTATTCAATTTATTTTTAATGATAATATGACAGAATAAATAACAGTAACAGTGAACAATAATAATCACAGTTACGCAAAACAAAGAAACTTGTAAAACAAAACTTTGTGACCCACACCTTTTCAAAAATATTCTAGGTTTCTTAAAAAGTCATTACATTTAAGTTACATGCTGTAACATTCAGCATTTTCTTTTTCATCAAGCATTTTCATAAAAGTGGCATCAGACAACAACAAAAATTATTGCTTCTTGACTTACGATTACGTATAAAATTGAAATATATCCAGTTGAACTCGGATTCAGCAGACTCGCATTCAACAAAAGAAGTTGGATTCCCCACTTTATTTATTCATAAAAATCAATAAAATAACTCGGATTTAACGAACATATAAATGAGTAATCTCAGATTCAACAAAGTCGCTTGCAGGGTGTTCAGTCTGTGATGTAATCTAATTTAGGCCCTAATAGTTCTAAGTTGCAGGGTTGTACATGATGGCCAGCTCACTGACAACTTTGACATCAAGACTGGTGTGAGACAGGGATGTTTATTATCACCGTTCCTCTTCATATTGGCAGTTGACTGGCTGATGAAAGAAACCACCAGAGGACACAGAAACGGTATACAGTGGACACCATGGACACAGTTGGACGATCTGGAAAGTCGAAAGTCCTAAGGATAGATGCACGGCGAAAGGAGCAGGTCACAGTACAAGGAAATGAACTAGAAGACGTCAAATCCTTCTGCTATCTTGGGAGTATAATCGACAGAGAGGGAGGAACAGGCACTGAAATAAAGTCCCGCATTGGAAAGGCACAGGCTGCATTTATTTCTTTGAACAGAATTTGGAGGACCAGGGATATCTCATTACGAACGAAGCTTAGAATTTTCAACTCAAATGTGAAGTCAGTCTTGTTGTATGGATGTGAGACGTGGAACGCATCCCATATGTGCATAAAGAGGATCCAGGTTTTCTTGAACAAGTGTCTGAGTACTCTGAAGAGGCTGCTGAGGATCAAATGGACAGACAGGATCACCAATGAGGAAGTATTAAGAAGAACCAGACAGAGCCCGGTCAGAGATGAGGTGGGAAGAAGACGTTGGCGATGGATTGGACACACTCTCAGGAAGTCAAGCAGCTGCATAACAAGAAAAGTGTTAGATTGGAACCCACAGGGTAAAAGATCAAGGGGAAGACCTCGTGGAACCAGGATAAGAGTCACGGAAATGAATGTACAGAAAAGTGGGAAGACATGGAGTGACATCAAGCGACTAGCCCAGGATAGGGAAAGGTGGAGGGTGTTTGTTCGTGGCCTATATCTTGCCCCAGGGTGAGAAAGGCAATGATGATGAGTCTACTTTGTCATATTGCCATATTGTCAAAGAAGCACAGATGACAATGAAATGGAAGAGATGTATTACAATGAAATCCTCTTAGGACTGCCAATCAGTGCACCGGACATTAACAAAGCCTCAAGAACTGACACCATCCTGTCAAATGTCATCCGCTTCACACAACACGGTTGGCCTCAACAAGTTCCAGGAGAAAAGAAACCCTAAATGAACAGAAACAAAATGAACTCAGCGTGCACCAAGGACGCTTAATGTGGGGTTCACGAGCTTTTGTTCCCAAGGTCTCCAGCCATCAGTCCATCAACAACTGCAAGAAGGTCATCTAGGCATAGTCAAAAAGAAGAACATGGCTCGTGGGTTCTTCTGGTGGCCAGGACTGGACAATGACATAGAACACACGACCAAAGGCTGAACTGGCTGCTTGTATTCACTACCAGACCCACAAAGTTCACCACTGCACCCATGGACGTTTCCAGGAAAACCGTGCAACACATACACACAGACTATGCAGGTCCACTTATGAATCGCATGTTCCTGACCGAAGTAATTCCCACAACTTCAACTACCTGCAGCGTTACAATGGACATTCTGACCACAATTTCCACAAGGTTTGGACTTCCGACCCAACTCGTCAGTGACAACGGTCCACAATTTACTTCTTAAGAGTTCAAAACCTTTCTGCGACACAATGGCAAAAAGCACATCACAAGTGCCCCGTACCATCCTTTAGCAAATGTTGCAGAACATTTTGTTCAAGTCTTCAAAAACGCCATGAAATCTGCGAAGTCTTTTGAACTTGAACAGAAAATGCCTTCTTGATTTGGCGAGTGACATAATTGTAATGAGTTGCAAATAACTTGATTACATGGTATTACTAGTACATGTATTAGGGTTACATTGTACACAGAAGACAAGAACAAACCTGTAATGAGGTTGGGTAGACTGCCCAGGTCCTCATATTGAAGGAAGGGATTATTCCACCCCTGAGTCCTTCAATGGTCAGACAATTTTTAACGGTTTAACTTAACGGGTGGTTTGACCACTCTGCTGGACCTTTGAAGCTGTGGAGTAGGTCGAGAAAGGTCAGCAGAGGTAGGCATGTTGGGTTGTTGAGGGGGAGTTCAGTGTATTTTCCTGGAATTTTCCATTCTTCTGTATGGCATCAAAGGAAACAAAAATGCCTCTCATTTGAAATCAAACTGCTTTTGATTAACTCGAATACAGTCAAACACGGGTAACTCGAATTCGTCGAGGATTGGAAATAGTGTTCGAGATTTCTGTAATTTGCCATGTCCATTAAAGCCCCAAATACCAAGAAACAGAGAGAAAATCAAGGGGGGGGGGGAGAAAATTTTTAAAATGAATGGGGTCAGCTCTCTTGATGAACGTGTTGAGGGTGTGAAAGCAAGAAAATGAATGAGAGCGGAAAGCTGAAATTCTCATGTGTGCACAGCTGACCCCTACGTCATTCCTTTCCTCTCATTTCATTGGCTTACAGAAAGTTACGCCTCTTGCCATCTGCACAGCGCGCATCCCACACTATGATTGCACGCGTGGCTTGCCAGTCATGCAGTGCGGTCAGCATCCCTGCCCAATCCCCCTTCCCTGTTTCCTCTTCCTCCAGCCTCTCGTGGTGAGACAGAGACCACGTTCTGGCTGTAACAATAACAAATTAACACCTACCCGCGACCAGAAAGGCTGTAAAGCCGGGTCTTTAGTTGAAAATGCAAGGTGGATTTGTTCAAGATTCGAGTGTTGCGTGTTCGAGAACTCCGAGAAGTCAATACAAAGAAAACTTAATAGGGACTGAAACGGGACCGAGCATTATATTCGAGATCTCCGAGAATTCGTGATCGTCGTGTTCGAGATTCCTGGACGTTACTGTACATTTTATACATTACAATTACTTGCTCGGTGCCTGTAATTATTCACACAAAAACCTCATGATTGGTATAATGAACACTTGGATTTAACAAAATAGAATGTCAAGCCCGATGACTTCGTTGAATCCGAGTTCCACTGGGTAGGTCTCTATGCCTATATATTCATGATAGAAATAATGCCCTCTGAAGGAAAGTTATATCTCAGCTGTCTCAAGAAAAATGAGAAATCCTGATTTATTTTCCCCTCCCCTTTTGGCTGGCTGCAGTGTAAAAACCAAGTTCTCACTTGTCTACAGACTGAGGATAAGATGATTTGCCAAAAAACTTTTCAAGACTTTAAAAAACTCAGTACCGATACCAGTAACTTTCTCACATTATAAACATTATATGAGTGACATACAAGAGTAAAGTTAGATTGGCAACGTAACACTGTAAAAATGTTCATACGGTATCGCTCTAAAGGTTCATATCGTTCCAAATGTTCATATAATATCGCTCTAAATGTACACATTGCTATGCTTAACTAACTTACATACATATATAGATACATATAAAATGACATATTCTATCATAATGCCCAAGAACATTGTACAGTACTCAACAAAATTAATATTGCACCAAATTCTACCACGCTGGCTGTGCATAGTTGCTGAGATGACTTCGGACAGAGGAGGGAGAAGAACACGGAGCTGTGTGGAAAAGCTGGAACATATTCCTGACACATCCACCCATAGCTTAAACCAGCCTTAAAATGCCACAAATACTTTTGACAGGCTTTGTTTATACTGAACTAACAAGCACAGCAGCGAACAAAAATGGGTGAATTAAAGAAGACCAAAGGGGACTTCCACAAATGAGTGCCCGTATTACACTGGATCAAAATAAAAAATTATGAGACACAAGACTGAGACAACACATTACAGATGTTTTAAACTAGTACAACAATCACCAAAATGCCAGTGTGTGGAGTCAGACCAAACTGTGGAACACATCCTTCGGCACTGCAAGACACACAGGGCCCTGAGACAGGAAATGTGGCCAACCCCATTGACACTACAAGAGAAGCTATACAGGCCAAAAGAGGAACTGAGCAGGAGGGCCCAGTACGTGACAAACTGAGATAGGGCTTACTGGACTTCAAGTAAGATATGATTGAGAAGAAGAATAAGACTATCATAAATGCATGTACATGTACTTATATTAACGTTATATTACATGTCATATATATATATAATTTATACATGGCAATAGTTCACAGTGTACGACAAAAATTCAAGATACAGACTACAGTCAACAGTCCAAGCTCGATAAACCAATCCCACATCCCATGTTATACTGCCAGCCCCGCTTACCGCCAGGTTTTGCCAATGTACAAAATGAATCCCCTATATATATATATATACATATACATAGTATTTGCACCTTTACACTGCCATCCGTCAACTGTCTTAGTTATACTTTCCTTATTAAATTAAACAAAATTGTAAATTTGTGAGGCATTGTGGTGAAATCAAGCGCTTGTCAAAATAATGAAATCAAAGACACAAGCATTTTTCCCCCGCTTTGGCGATTTTTATAGATTTTTTGTTTTTTGTCCATTTAAAAACACATAGCTGTGTGGGTTTTGCTGGGAAAAAAACTTTGATTAAAGGCATAAAAAATGTTAATTTACATACTTTCCAAGGACTCTCAAGCTCCGGCTATCTTTGAACCAATTTTAATAAAACGTCAAAGAAATAAAGTTCAACTCTACGGGGACATTACATTTATCAGTATGAAAAAAATCAGTATAGATCTAGAATCTAGATCTACAATAAAATGTTTTAAAACTATCAAATTTTTTTAATTTCCTGAAACGCAAAACTTTGAAACTTCTTAAAAATCAAACATATTGTTCTATTTAAATAGTCACTATTTTTGCATTGAAATACAAATTAATACAAAATTGATATTGCTAAATAAACTCAAGGTAAGTTGTAGCTATAAATTAAATATCTAGGTGTGGACCATTTCTTTCCATATAACAATACGCCAATGGAAATTTTGAATAACCCTGAGGCATGTTTCTGGGTCGATTCTTTGGACGTCCTGTTCAACATGGGAGTTTCAATTGTTTAATAGTTTGTGAGTGTTTCTAGCAGCCATATCAGGGCCACTCTTGATGTGTAGTTTGTGACCCATCCCACTGGAACCTGACATTGTCCTGAAACCAGAATGGGCAGGGCTGATCACGCCCCTGAAGCTGAACGTTTCATTAAATTAATATAAGAGGCAAAATTTTATACTTCACCCAATTTTGATAGAAATTTTTTTAACTTGTAATTTCTCATATATGTATACATGTTAATCAATTTTCTTCCTGTTTACAAAATTGATGGGCGCTCATATGACCTTATGCAGTTGCGAGCGTTGTAAAACCCTCTACTATAAAAAAAATGATTAAAAAATTGATGGTCGAGTTTAATTCATTAGAATTTTTGTTGAAATTGGTGCAGAGATGATCAAGGTTATTACCCAAATTAAGTGGGTCCTCTTTTTTTAAGACACCCTGTACACATTTTGCCAAGTCAGGTATGTTGGACACATGCCAATATTCTGCAGTTGAATACATAAATTCGTGAAACAATAGAGCAGCTACAGTTTACAGTATAGAACGCTACATTTCATAGAATAATGGGGAATGGAAATGTTTTTGTTCAGGGCTCCTGCCAAAGACTGAGCAACGGAGAACATGAAACCGATGGAGAGTACTCCATCCTGAAATCATCTACATCAAAATTTTTTCGCGCGCTCATATGACCTTATGCAGTTGTGCGCCATAAAACTCCTACCAAACTAAAAAAAAGTATGTGGTTAGTCTCTGTTAGATACAACATGTTATATATTTCTTATACCTTTGCCATTTCTGTCAACAACAACAACAAAAATTATACAAAAAATTGTTAAGCACTCAGATCTCTCTGGCTAAAAGAGTGAAGATTTTTGCTTCGACCCCGAAGACTAGAGGGGTAAAAGGCTGGAACAAATTTGCTAAGATAACACAGAGTTGTTAATACATTGTATGTGGTCCATTTGTGCGTGCTTGTAAACTGCTAAGGTAGATGTGGTTTTGAAAGATAATTTGAAACTAATACTAATAAAAACATAGTATGAATGCATACAACAATGCTGAGATTCTCTGAAAGTAAGTTTTGGTGGAAGAAGCCACCAGAGGATGATTGTGGTGCAAGAAGAGACTGGAGATGAGAATGTCACAAAATCCTTCATCAACATACAAGGATTGCCTTGTCATTGCAGGGAGCAAAAATAGAATAAAATCATCTTTTTTTTTTTTTTTTCTGTTTTAGTAGAGATTTTACAGGGTGGATGTCAACAGAGAAGTCCTTACACTTACAGAGAATCAGTCTTACTCTGCTCACCTCTCTAGCTTCAACAGCACAAAGTCTGCTTCGACTATCAGTATCAAGGCACTCCGGAAATAGTGTGTCACAAGAGTGTGACAAAACATACAAAAGAAGTAGAGGAAGAATGACGATAGTAAGGATTAGGAAAGAAAAAGCAGCAGTTCCCTGTTGCAGTACAGACACAGTTATGAGCATGACATTGATGAATCAGCCCATTTACAATTACAATTCTACTGTGTATAAGAACATGATTAATATCCCCCCTTCGAGAATGGCCTAAAGTCAGTAGCATTACCCCAGGGTATATAAAAAATCATCAAATGGCAAAAAAACATTTGCCGAGGTTATAACAAAAATACAACTATTGTGAGACAAACTGTTTCAGAAAGAGAACTAGTAATTGAGACAGCACATTGTCATTATAATTTAAATTATGATAATATTCAAATAATAATAAATTTTACTTATATTTAAATATTTTTAATTTTGTGCTGAAACAATAAAACAGTGCCAATCCCAACACAAGTTAAGTCAAAGGAAAGAATGACTGAATGGTCCAGGCTTAACAGAAAGTTAGAGGAGCAAGTGATTACACCAATCCTAAACCTTGAGAGCTCGTGCCCTGAGGATTTCGTGGTTTGCAAATCCACACCAATCCTGTCCTTCCTCCCTAACACTCTCCCTCCTCCCAAACCCTCAAAAAAAGTAAAGCATGCAGAACAGTACTACATTATTACAGTATAACACGGATAGCTCAAATTCGTCGGGACTTGCCTCGGTAGTTGGAGGAATCAATAGTTCAAGTCAAGGGATATCTTTCAAAGATGAAATAGAAAAAAAAACAGGGACCGTAGGTACAGTTCGACGGATGTGTGATTTACAGTCTTCTGTGTTCGACCTTTCCGTGCTATACTGTATGTTGTAAGTCAGAGATTCAACAGATCCTCCATGTCATAGGGCTGCGTCTGTGTGTTCTGATCCAAACACGTCTGTGTGAAGGAATCGGTCAGGACGAACTGCCCCATGGGATGCTGGCTGTGGCTTGTCTGTGTGTGGCTGTTGATGCCGATCGACAGTCCGATACTCAAAGGTTTTATCTCGTGAGTTTGAGTCTCCGAGTCCTCGACAAAGCTAAAGAAATCTTCCCACGGAGTTTGACATTCTGCCGTTTCTCTGCCAGTGCTTGGGAAGTCAGTGGCCACAGTTTTGTCGATAGTTTTTGAAGATGGAGAAAACTGCACTGTGGGGACATCCTCAAAACACAACATCGGCAGCACGGAGTCTAAAGCTGTTTGGGTGTGAGAGTTCTCCAGAGATTTTTTTCCCCCAGGCTCCAGAGATTGTGAAAAAGATTCTTTTAATTCAGCATTCAATAAATTTGAAAAGAAGGGATCGTGAGAGGTTTGTGTTTCTGAAGTCTCTGTGCTCTTGTATGGCAAGCTCATTGCTGGTCTGCTGTCAAGTTGACCTGCGGTGACAGAACTGTGAGTTATCACGTCCATGTAGTTGTCTTCTTGGGGATACAACAAAGAATAATCATCATGTCCAACCATGACCGCATCGCCACCCATCCTGGGACTGCTGCCACAGCCCACGGACGCCATCTCCGGGGGGAAAGCGAACGAGTTGTCCCTCAAGTCCAGAGTCTGATCGTCCACACCACTCCCGACGGTCTGAGTGCTGGCGTGGTCTCCGCTGAAGTCAGAGACATCCAATTGTATGGCGATGTCTGTTGTTGCCATTTTCTCCGAGCTGTGAAGGGGCGACTCAGCAGTCAGAGGTAATGAGCTGTAAATATCGTCCAAGGTCTGGGTCTGGATGTCGCTGGTCAGGAACTCCAGGAGGTCATCACCAGTCTGGGTCATCATGTCGGTGACAAAGTCTGTCATTGTCTGTGTGCCCATATCCCAGCCAAGGTCAAATGTCTGCGTGATGCCGTCTGATCCCCCGACAGCCGCGTCGTGAGTGGTGACAAGATCACAGAGCTTGTGCCCCAGCTGGCTACCTCTCAGCTGACCACAGCCAGAAAACTCTCCTTTATTAGCACGACTCTTCAGTGGACAGGAGGAAGAAAGGTGAGGGATCCCATCTTGAGACATACTCTGAACTGTCTGCGCTGGTCGCAAAATCAGAGGAGGAGAGGCAGGCGGCGTCTGCGTGTTCTCGAGAACGTCCATCAACAAATCCGTCAGGTCATCTGGGGCCACCATGGTGCTTTCACTGACCGAGCGTCTGGTGCTGGCTGGCTCAGTGTTACTGCTGGGGCCTGCGTGAGGAAGCGAGGAGGGTTCCCGGTGTGAAAAAGATCTAAATTGAGACACATCATCAAGGTAACCATACTCCATCGCCGAGTGTGAGCAGGGGAATCTATCAGCATCATTTCCGTGGCCCGCTGTGTGCACGGTGTGACAGGTGACTGTGCCCTGGTCCTGTTTTGCAGGGCGGTTCAAGGAGGACAGATGGGTCTGGGTCTGAATGTTGTTGATGATGGGCTCAATTTCACAGTGAGAGCTCTGGAGAGCAGTTTGAGTGTGGCAGTCTTGTGTGGGGAAATTGGAAAATGCAGAATGGTCACTTTGCATCATTTTCAGGAAGCCAGGAAAAGTTGTTTGGGTATCTTGATCACTTCTTGTCAGCATTAAATCAGCCTGCACACCACTGCATCTTGTAACTGAGTTTGTCTGAGTGTGTATGTGCTGTAGGTGCTGGGATGCACACGGCTCTAAAGTCCTCGCAGCAAACTGTTCATCCACACAGCTCAGCTTTGTCTGTGTCGATATTGAGGACAAAAACTGGTTCAAGTTCACAAGATCAACCTGACCACAGTGTTTTTGGTTCGGTAAAGAACTGCTCCCTAGAGGCACACTGGTTGTGGACAAAGACTTTTTGGCAGGGCTAGGAGTGGATGTCTGAGCTCCAACGTGGATTTTTTTCCTCTTCAGGGCTTTCGCTTCCCCTTGAGACTTTTGCGTTCCCCGGCAAACTTTGAGGACCGGGATCCTCGCAGCGCTCATTGCCGTCTGTAGAATAGACTCCCGTGTCTGGGTCTCCGCCATACGACGTCTGACGCCATCTGGAAACTCATACGGCAGGGCTGTCTGGATACCTGTAGATAGTTTCACAATCTTGGGGTTGTTTGTCTCGCAGAAAGCATGGAAACATGTCTGAATGCTAGCGGTTCTTTTGAAACGGACAGTCTGCACAGCCTGAGTGGTGAGCTGTTCGGGTGTCACTTTCTCAACATCGGGTCCAACAGACGCATCCACGTGGTAAAGTTTTACGGCTTGCTGTTGTACGGCAGTCGAAGGCAGCACAAGTGAAGGTTCAGAATTGTCTGGGTCTGCAATTACTTGTTTGGGTAATATCGGAACAGGCCCCTTTCTCATTAAAACATCCTTCTTTTGTCTTTTACTAGCCTTCTTTTTCTCAGCCTTTGGTCTTGCTTCTCTGAAATTTGCAAACAAGGTAGAAAATCAGGATCACAAGATAGAAAATCAGGATCAATTTTTTTTTAACAGCATCTTTAACAAGAAGCAAAAAGAGGAGAATGTGAAAGGTTATGATAAAGCAGGTGAGCACACTCCGTTTAATGTCCAGCCAAACGATGGTGAATACTTACAGGCAAAAAGACAAGAAGAGGAGAGTGAAAGGAGAAAAGACAGACACAAACAAACGAAGCTCTACATTCAAGATCAAACAACTCCACCTAGGGTGGACTTATGCACTTTTCTTCTGTAACTGACTCTCGTCTAAGGAGCTGTTGATGGCCCTTCCCTGTTCATTTTTGTTTTCTTTTTAATGTTGGTGTTTTACGCTCCCATTGACACAGTTTTGATCATTTAGAAGGGGTACTTCCGACCCTGCCAGTCAGGACCAACCAGGCTGAGAGGGATACAACATCCCAGCAGAAAGACTAAGACACTCAATAAAAATTTTCTCCCCACTTGGGAATCGAACTCAGGTCTACTGTGTGTGACAGCAAAATGCTTAAATGCTACACCAAGATGACGGTTCCTGCCTGGTGGATTGTTACCAGCTGCCGCCCCAACAGTAAAGCCCTCTCTCCCCGCTTTGCCTACCCCCCCCCCCTCTGTTTCCGCACATCTCAGCTATATCATAGCCGGCAGCTTCCTCTTCTTGACAGAGAACTGCCAGTCCACAGTGACCCCTCACATTACCCCTCTCCCCCATTTGGACTCCTGATCCTGATGTTGCACACTAAATGAAGCAATTTTTTTAAAAATGGAGACTATACTTTACTTTTATTCACTATTACTAGGTAGCGTAAACACGGCCTCGCGGGCACTCGCGGCCTTCCGACCGCGTGGTATCGGTAAAATCGGGGTAATTCCGATCGCTGTTTCTTTGCTCTTTCGCTATAAAACACCAAATGCCGTACACCTTGCAAAAGTTCAGCTTTTCCTCGTTGCAATGGTGTAAGTTGTTTATATGTCCGATTATTAGGAGCTGGAGAATCGCCGACGAAAGCGAAGCCCCTCGCGGTCGGAATGCGAGGTCGGCCGGTTGAAAAATTGACACGCGTGCATTCAAATGCTTCGCGGAACGAGGGATAATTAAATACCGTCTTTTCATTGGCGGAGAACTGTAGAGCTTTAAACGGGCTTTCCCATGACATTAGTTTAGCCTTTGGCGTCTTTATAGAAAGCTTTTAAAAATACCGTCAAAATGTTTAAAGGGGTACACTACAGTATAGAGCCGACTCGCTCGCCGCGGGGGCCGGTGCGGCGCCGGCCGGGTCAACGCTCGGTGTTTTTGTCGAAATAACGACAGATCATCGTGTTTGAAGCGATAAAATACTGATTGGTAAAGATCTCAGTCTTGAAAAAAATTAGGCTCCATATATTTGTAATAGTGATTGTACTCTGTTAATGTGGAGATGTTTAGTGCACTTGGTACTTTTTTTATTGTCTGTCAAACATGGGGTTGCAGCCAGTGACTGACTTTAACAAATTTGATCAAATTTTAAACAACTACAATTTTCTTAAAAATTGACGGAGAGGTTAAAGAATGGTACCAAAATGCTCAGTGGATATAGGCCTTTCAAATGGAACAGATAAATTTGGCATACAGCTAGTTTGAAAATTTAGTTTCTGGTACCTACTAATACCATGGTAGAACCCGAGATATTCCAACAAATTTGCTTTTTACATGGATGAATCCTGACCGTAAAACAAAACTCACGAGATAACAGCTTCCGGCTTCTTATGCTGGTTGTAGTTACAGTGTGCGATGAGTGAGGATTTGGCAGCGTACGTCTTGCCGCAGTCTACACAGGAGAACTCTTGTCCACACTCTCTCTGATGCCGAAGACAATCTCGCTCCAACCCAAATGCTTTCTTGCATTTTTGACACAGAAATTTCTTGTCAGAATGTAGCTTCATATAGTGCTGAAATGGTAAGGGGAAACAAGAATATTTACGTGCAAATTTAAATCGCTTCAATACACCTTTCCAAGTGCATAGTCGGTGCGCATAAATCAAACTAACAAACTATTATTATGCGTGCATTTGCATGAAAGAAGACACACTTTAACACAGTGAACCTTGAAAACTGATTTTAAAAAGCAATGTCACAACCATAACAGGTAGCGATTTCCCTCTTAGAAGATAATTAACAGACTACAAATCAAGACTAAAAAAGTCTAGAAAATAAGAAATCGTGGCAACAAAAAATGGACTCAACATCAACAATACAAAAAATGAACCAACTTCCCATGCAATCATTACTTTTCTTTACAATCCCATCACAATTCTTAAAATAACAGCACCACTACAGTCTCCTGTCCCAGAACCAACACTGAACTAAACAGTCTAGCGTCACAGGAGAAACAACCTACATCTATGGTGTAGCAGTCTGTTGCACATGCCAGACCCGAGTTCGATCCTCGAGAGGAGAGAATTCAAATCGAATATCTGGGCTTTTCTGCAGGGATGTTGCACCTCTCTCAGTGCGGGTCTTTCTGCTGGGATTTGCATCTCTTTCAGACCAGATCTTTCGGTTGGGATGTTATATATATCTCTCTCAGCCCAAGTTGGCCTTGACAAGCAGGTCAGAAGTCTGACATCTAAATGATGTTCGTCCTTCGCTAGCGAAGATGACCTTGACTTCACATCACTGGAGGGGTGGGGTGTGTGCGGAGATGGCTGATCAGGCCGATCTTTGCACGAAAATGTCTGTTGCAGTGGGGTCAGGGGATGTTTGGGGCTGAATTAGGCTGGAAGGTAGGGCTCTCTCGGTCTTTTCTCAGCTGCCGTCTCCATTCTTTCTTTCTGACGCGACTTTCTTTGAATTTCGCCACACTCGATCTTATTAAGGAGCGCCAAACTGTGCGGTCGCGAGCAGCTTCTTCCCAGGTGGTATGGGGAATATCACAACTCTTCAGGGATGTTTTCAGAGCATCTTTGAAGCGTTTCTTTGGTGCGCCGAGAGAGCGTTTGCCTTGAGTCAGTTCACCGTAGAGTAGCCTCTTAGGGAGGCGAGAGTCGTCCATGCGGTGAACGTGGACGGCCCATCGGAGCTGAGAGCGCAGTAGGATAGCGTATATGCTCTCCATCTTGGCCCGCTAAAGTACCTCAGTGTCTGGGACTCTGTCTTGCCACTTGATACAAAGCAGTGTCCTGAGGCATCTTATGTGGAAGGCATTGAGCTGCTTGGCATGCCGGCTGTAGACTGTCCACGTTTCGCAGGCGTAGAGCAGGGATGGCAAAACTACCGCTTTATACACTTTGAGCTTGGTGTTAAGGCTCAGTCCTCTTCGCTCCCAGACCTTGTCTTTCAGTCTACCGAAGGCTGAACTAGCTCTAGCAGTTCTGTAGGCCACTTCCTCATCGATATTGACCGAACAAGAGAGGGTGCTGCCAAGGTAGACAAACTTATCTGCTACTGCCAGTCTCTGGTCATAGATGGTGCAATGGGGCTCTACGAAAGGAGCCGATGGTGCTGGCTGGTACAGAACTTCGGTCTTCTTTGTGGAGATAATGAGGCCGAAATTTTCGCAGGCTTTAGAAAAACGGTCCAGGCTTCCATGCATGTCTGACTGAGTACTGGTCAGCGTGCAGTCGTCCGCAAAGAGGAAATCGCGGGCTATGCCTGCATGGACTTTAGTCCTCGCCAGCAGCCTCCGAAGGTTGAAGAGTTTTCCATCAGTGCGGTAACGAAAACCGACACCAATATCTCCGTCGTAGTACGCATCGGTCAGCATAGCTGAGAACATCATGCTGAACAGAGTGGGGGCCAGCACGCAGCCCTGCTTCACTCCATTAGTGACGGGGAAGGGCTGGGAGTACACGCCGTCGTCTTACACTCTTGCTGACATGCCATCGTGGAACTGTTGGACCATCACGATGAACTTTGCGGGACCCCCGAACTTTGCCATGATCTTCCACAGCCCTTCGCGGCAGACAGTATCAAATGCTTTCGTCAGATCCACAAATGTGGAGTAGAGTCCAAGGTTCTGCTCTTGGCATTTCTCTTGTAGTTGACGAGCAGAGATCATGTCCAAAGTATTGCGCCCCACGCGGAATCCACACTGACTCTCAGGGAGCAGGTCGCGTTCCAGGTGTGCAACCAGGCGATTGAGCAGGATGCGAGCCAGGATCTTCCCAGCGATGGAGAGCAGGGCGATGCCTCGGTGGTTGTCGCAGGTGTTCCTGTTTCCTTTGCGCTTGTAAAGGTGGACAATCAAAGCGTCTTTGAGTTCCTGTGGCAGCTTTTCTTGTAACCACATGGCGGTGAACAGGTTTGTCAGTTTCTCTATTAGTGTTGGGCCTCCAGAGGCGTAGATTTCAGCTGGAATGGAGTCGGCACCTGGTGCCTTGCCACTGGACAGGCGTTTGATGGAGAGTATTACTTCTTTTTCTGTTGGTGGGTCTGCCAGAGTGTTGTCGATTGCATTTGTGGTAGTATTTCAATGGCTTCACTGTTGATGGAAGATGGTCTGTTGAGGACACTGTTGAAGTGTTGTGCCCAGCGCTCAAGGATTTTCTCTTTGTTATTAGCGTGCCCCCGTCTGCGCTGAGGAGAGGGGATTGCCCTGACGAAGTGGGTCCGTAGACGGCCTTGAGAGCGCTGAAGAAGTTCTTCATGTCCTTCCTGTCTGAGTAGGCCTGGATGGCGTCCGCCTTCTCACTGAGCCGTTTGTCTTGTAGTCGTCGTAGTTCGAACTGGACTCTCCTCCTGGCCGTATTGAAGTTCTCTTTCTTTGAGGTGGAAGAGGGGTCATTTAGGAGTGCTCTGTGGAGTCGGTGCTTCTCCTCTAATATTGTCTGGATGTGACAACTGTTGTCGTTGAACCAATCTTTGTGCTTGCGGGTAGTGGGGCCAATGATGTCTAAGGCAACATCATAGAGGGCGTCACGGAGACGTGCCCACTCTGTCTCAACATCAGCATGTGGGTCTATGTCGCTTGGTTGTAGTTTTTTCTCTAGCTCTTCTACCAGCGCATGTTTGACAAGATCGTTCTTGAGCTTGGAGACGTTCAGTCGCTTGGCCACTTTGATGCCTTGGGGCCTCCTGGGTGGTGTGATTCTGAGGCTCATCTTAGAGATGAGGAGACTATGGTCCATCCGACATTCTGCACCGCACATGGTCTTTGTGACTCTCACATCCTGTCTGTCTCTTTGCCTGACGATGACGTAGTCGAGTAGATGCCAGTGCTTGGAGCGTGGGTGCATCCATGATGTCTTGTTACGATTGGGCAGGCAGAAGACCTTGTTGGTGATGAGGAGATCGTGGGCAGCGCAGGTTTCCAACAGGAGGAGTCCGTTGCTGTTGCAGTTGCCAACACCGTGTTTCCCTAACACTCCCTCCCACGACTTGTGGTCTCTGCCGACTCGAGCATTGAGGTCACCAAGGATGATGAGTTTGTCTGCCCTGGGTACAGCTGTGATGGTCTTCTTTAGGTCCTCGTAGAATTTTCCTTTTATGTCGTCGGGGTTGGTCATAGTGGGTGCGTAAGCGCTGATTAGCGTGGCAAATTTCTTCTTGGGGAGCGGGAGGCGGGCAGTCATCAGGTGATCGTTGATTCCCTTAGGGGGAGCTGTCAGCTTGTTGACCAGGTTGGACTTGATAGCAAAACCAAACCCTGCCTCGTGACGCTCGTCGAGTCCACAACCGATCCAGAAGAATGTGTAGCCGGCAGAGTGCTCTGTGACTGTGAGTTGTCCTTCCTCAGCGAGGCAAGTCTCACTGAGGGTGGCAATCTGTACTTTATATCGACCCAGTTCGCTAGCAATGAGGGCCGTTCGTCTTTCAGGACGGTTACTCCCTGAATGGCCAAGGAGGGCACATTCCATGCGCCAAGGGTGATGGTCATCTTAGATTTTTTTTTTTTTCTTCTTACCGCTGGTGTGGGACCCCTGCCAGCCGCGGCATGCTGGCCAAGGAAGGGTGAGACAGGCAATATTTAGGACACCTTTTCTAGTCCCGTCCCCAGGCTGTGGGGGGAAGCAGTGCTATCCTGAAGAGGGCTGCTTCGTCGCCCAGGTGGCTGCCGAGTTCCAGCACTGTCTCATTCACTGAAAAGCGATCACAAGGCCTGGACTGCCTACGTGTAGAGTTGTGACTATAACTGCCAGTGTGTCCACACCTGTCACTTGGCCACTCGTCCATCGCCGCAGGACTTGAGAAATGATGAGGGTGATGATGGGGGTGGGGATGATGAAGTCATGACTTGAATTTGATTAAAGTGAGGGAGAGTTGCGCAAAGTCATCAGCCTCACTCTCTAAGGTCCATCTAGTTCCAGTGGCACGACGAAATCGAGACGGCCGGAGATGGGCTGGGATGCAGCGGATGGCCAGCAGTGTCTTCTTGTCTCACTGTGCCCTTGTCGCGCTCCGCGGCGCTCTGCTGGGACTGCCTTTCTGCTCTTTGAACCACCGAGTGGTTTCGTCCACGCAGTCCACCGCAGTCAGTCTTTGCATGCGTAGGGAGACAGACCCTAATTATCTCACTAGTGGGTTTGAAACCCGACCAGCTACCCTCTACCTGGTTCAGCCCGCCTGCCAAAGTGGTTATCGGGGTGCGGCCGCTGCGCATGCTGCAGCTTCGTGGAGCCACAGGTGAGAGTTGAGTGTCAGGTGGGAACCAATGTAGAGAATATATATACTGTGTCGATGGAGGCGTAAAAAAACATATATCTTTTTTTAATGTTCTGAATAAGAAAGAAGAGTCCAGCTTGAGGTTCCCTGTCCAGTCTCCTGCTAGTAAAACGTTCATAAAAACAATCACAACAGTCAGGCTAAGGTCTCACAGCATGGTTATACGCAGCATTCAAGAATACTCACAGTCCTTAAAATGTCCAAAGTCTTAAAATATCTTTCTGAATTTTGGTTGAAGTAGCAACTGGCCACAGGACAGTGGTAGTGATGAACTGTATTTTTCTCAACAACATTTTTCTGAGGAACAGAAGCACAAAGCACATTACAGCAGCTGAGGGAGTATTCAACAGCAGTGGTCATCCAAACCTCGGAGACTACACCAATATAGGAATACATTTCTGAGACTACACCATATAGGAATATATTTCTGAGACTACACCATATAGGAATATATTTCTGAGACTACACCATAGCGGAATATACTTCTCTGAGACTACACCATGGCGGAATATACTTCTCTGGGACTGCACCATGGCGGAATATACTTCTCTGGGACTACACCATAGCAGAATATACTTCTCTAAGACTGCACCATAGCAAAATAATAAACTTCTCAGGGACTAAACCATAACAGAATAATATACTTCTCTGAGACTACACCACAGTGGAATATATTACTCGGAAAGATTCCCCACCAAACATGGGTTTGACCCCAGACAGCTGGGACGATTTTTCTATTTGTCCTCTAATTTTGTAGCTGTTTCGAGGGAAACTTATTTCAGTTTTTAGTGTGGGTACCTTAATTTGTGGATGTGGCTGGGGGCGGCCCAGGTGGGCGTGCCTGCTCAGGGCTGGAGGCAACTCAGGTGGACATGGGTTAAAGAACACTGTAAGTTGTAAGTAAATTACAATTAAAGTAGACCGGAACCTAAAACCTAATCTGAATCTGTCAGTGGAAAGGTTAGAAAGGTACCTCAGGAATGAACAGACTTTCTAAAAATAATACATATGTAATGTATCCTTACAATATCACATGACAATGTAACATTAATGCTTACAATATACCATAAATTCTTACAAATGTTACATAAATCCTTACAATGTTGCATAAATCCTTGCAAATGTTACTTAAATCCTTACAATGTTATGAGCCTTTGCACGATGCAGACCCAGCACTGAGACTGTAGTGGCAATATATCCACACCCTGGCACCGAACATTTCAGATCTGATTCAGTACGATTGTTGTCAATCAAAAGCTCACTTGGAGAAGGTATTATCTTTTTTATTTGAAGATTTTCAGTCATCGTGGGGTGCAAAACCTGGGAAAATAAAACATAAGTTCCATGAGTGGCAAAAATTTTCAGGACCTCACATAGGATATATGCCACAACCAAAGTTAAAACTAACAAAATCACTTCTTTCACTGTGTCACAACATAGCCACTTAATTGTCAGCCAGCGCAATACAGTCAGCTGGGCTTATGTTTTGAAAAGTGGACATAGTGAGAAAGTGTTAAAAGCAACACAAAATTCTGATCCAGTCTTTTTTATATTTATAATTATATTAGAAATAAGAGTAGGCCTACTAATAGAGCTGTAGGAGGCTTTTCATTTATATTACATAGTTTACAGCAAGGGCAACCATAGATTTTTGATAGATTCATGTATATATAAAAACACTGGTGTAACATTACCACATTTTCACAGAAAAATTTTAATGAAAGTGGAGCAGGGTATCTTTCCTCCAGTTCATGAATCCTGTCACCTGTCACACTGGCCCTTGGGGCGCCACTCCTTGCCACAAAGTACATGCCCTCCACCCCACTCCTACAACATGCCTCCAGCAACACTGCTACAACATGCCCACTCATACAACACACCTCAAGCAACACTACTACAACACATCCCTAGCTCCACTCGTTGCCACAACAGACACACCCCCAGCCCTACTCCTACAACACACACACGCCTCCAACCCCACCCCTTGCCACAACATACACGCTCCTGTTCCTATAACACGCCTCCAGCCCCACTCCTACAACACTCCTCCAGCACCACTCCTACAACACTCCTCCAGCCCCACTCCTACAACACTCCTCCAGCCCCACTCCTACAACATGCCTCCAGCCCCACTCCTACAACACTCCTGCAGCCCTACTCCTTGCCACCCCCCCCCCCCCCAGCCCCACTCTCTGCCACAAAGTATATGCCTCCAGCCCCACTCCTGCAACACACACCCAGCCTGACTCCTTGCCACATCAGACACGCCCCCAGCTCCACTCCTAGCCACATCAGACAAACCCCCATTCCTATAGCACGCCTCCAGCCCCACTCTATGCCACAACACACACGCTTCCAGCCCCACTCTTTGCCACAACACACACGCTTCCAGCCCCACTCTTTGCCACAACACACACGCTTCCAGCCCCACTCTTTGCAACAACACACACGCTTCCAGCCCCACTCTTTGCCACAATGTATACGCCTCCAGCCACACTTTTACAACACACCTCCAGCCCAACTCCTTGCCTCAACATACAAGCCCCCATTCCTATAACACGCTTCCAGCCCCACTCTTTGCCACACATTATACACGCCTCCAGCCCAACTCTACAACACACCTCCAGCCCCACTCCTACAGAACACCTCCAGCCCCACTCCTTGCCACACCATACACACCCCCAGCCCTACTTGGATCCTTGCCACACCATACACACCCCCAGCCCTACTTGGATCCTTGCCACAACGTACACACCCCCAGCCTCACTCTTTGCCACAACGTACATACTCCCAGCCCCACTCCTACAACACACCTCCAGCACCACTCATTCCTAAAAACATAAGCTTCCAGCCCCACTCCTTGTGAAGCAGACAGGTTCAAACATTACAAACATGTCTTCAAACATCTTTTCTTAAAAACTACTTTGGTCCAATTCTGAACATACAAACAGGACAGAAATTAGAATTTACTCTATCTGTTACAGAATCATTAATAATCAATATAACTTTGATCTTGACAGATTCAGAGCTGTTCTTCAATTACCTCCTTTACAACACAGTCGATAGCAAAAATCTGACATGGACCCCTGTGACCTAGGCCTCAATATAATCGCACAAACATGGCAATTTCTACAGCTCTATACATTTGTAGGCATTAAACCCTAGCATGTAGTAGGCCTTGGCCTTTCATCTGATTGTTGTTTGCCAAGTTTCATGATTCATTTTGATTCATGATTCACAGGTCGTATTCCTGTAACTTTATTTTGGAAAGGGCTACCTTCGATCCAAAATGTACCAAAAATTATTATAAATGTACACATGTATACGCCCCGGGGCAGCCCAATTTCCAGGCAAAAGTTCAGCGAGCGCCTGGCATTGCTAAATTTATAAGCTCTATAGTCTAGGCCATTGGCCTGCACAGTACAGGCTAAGATTTAAGAGAACATGGTCTAGCCTCTACGACTCTTAGTATTCTAGTTCTAGGATGGACGCCATGTCTGGACAAGTGGTGAAGTTCCACGAAAGTCAAGTCCATGTATAGTAGCCTATGTGGTCAGTTGTCAGTGCACTGTAGTGTACACCTCCAGCCTAACCTAGCAGTAGCAGCCCAGCCTGCTGCAGACTAGTAGAGACAAAAGAACTTTACTACTAGAGACTATATTAAAGTTACTGGGTTAGAAGAAGAAGACGAGACATAGATCAAGATCTTCATGAAATGGTCATGTTGTATCTTAAAATAATGTATTCAGTAGTCAGTATAGAGACTATAGACTATAGACTACAAAGAAGGGCCAGCTCTATTCGGACTCGAGTCAAATTAGATTTTTTATCTATTTCCTCGGGTCCGAAAAAAATTTTTAAAAATTTATTCAGACATGGCTTCTAAGTGAGTAAATTAAGTGAATGTAAGGAGGTTACATAAAATATAACTGTCGATGGGGGATTTTACGTAAAACCAGAATTAAAACTAGAAATTACGTACTTGGGACTGTGCAATTGTGTAATTGTGTCAAACATCAAAAGACTGCACTCTCATTGCCCAATGGCAGTGTCTAAGTACATGGTAACTGACAACTGATCAGAGTCTTTCCACCACCATTAGCCTACAGCATCATCATTACTTCCACCACCATTGTCTTTCCACACATTTTATTTCATTTTGTTGGATTTTATAGTTTTTCTATAATATTTTTTTTTAATCACATCGCACAAAATCGACAGCCGTAGCCACTTCCCAACACCTCTTCCCCCAACAAGCCGAGAGTGCGAGGTCACTGACACTACGAGCCATCTCATTGGTAGACATTTTAAATCAACCTTGCCCCCGGCTAGGTCAACTCAACTTAAATTGATTGTTCAGTTTATACTAAAAGATGCAGGGAGGGCATGTATATTATAGATCTAGTAACTGGATATATTACAGCTCACGTCTCGATTGTCATCATTATAATAGAAAACTTTTCATAAATGCTGGAAATATTTAGGAACAAAAGTCAGAAGTCGGAACGGACGTCATGCTGGACTCAATCCAGAGTCCGAATATAATTTTGGGAGGCTCTATTTCTCCGAACACTCTGGAAAATAAACTTGAACTTTATTTTTCCGAGCAGATTCCGTTCTTGTGATATTTTGGTTATTTGCGAATGGAGTGGCCCGCGTGCGCGGGTGTGTGGTGTGTGTGTGTGGTGTGTGTGTGTGTGTGGTGTGTTTGTAAGGTGTGAATGGGGCGTGAAGGGATTTTTTTGTGATTTAGTTTTTGCTTTGGAAACCTCTATTCTCACCCGGGATGAGAATAGTGCAGGCGAGTCTTTTGGCTATTCTCACCCGGTGCGCGTTCACCGTTATA